TTTGGCGCATTTCCGCATTATTTCACCCTTATTTGCCAATGCATTATCCCCTTTATTTCCGTTTGTTCGCCTTTATTTCCCCTTTATTGGTTGATAATTAAACGCAAAGAATAAATCTTACGGAAACAGATTCCACAAATGATCACAACACTGATTTGAATTAGTGTATTCGAATAACTGGACTACCACCGTGTCGAGACAACAAGAAGCTAGGGCAACGAAACCAACTTTGACGCGCTCTTTTCGAACGGGAAGTTTAATCCTAACGTGATTTACATTTCTCAAACTTTTGCTGTGTTCTTACGCAACAAAAGTACCATTTCCGATCTAAAGAATATATTCTGAGCTATACGTCCAGTAGATTACTTCTTTTTTCTGTGTTTCACTCAACTTAATAGTTAACTGTGGTTTTGCCTCAGCTCACTATCAATTTTTTAAAATAGTTTTCACGTAAAGACTAGCTTTAGCTTATCGTTAACTGTTTTCATACATTTTTGCCAGTTTTTGTTTACTGTGTGTTCTTTTTAACAGTCCTAAATTTACTGCTTGTATTTTTAAGACAGTTTAAATCACTAGTCATGAAAAATTCATGCAAAAGACCTGGTTGCCGTTTCGCTGTTACATCTGGCATGCAATGTGACAACTGCAAAGGTTGGTTCCACGAAGCATGTACAGAACTAACAGCAGCAGCCTATAGTAGACTCAGCAAGTCTGATCGTAGGTGGATATGTGTTACCTGCAATACCGATACCGTAGTTATGTTGGGTACCATCATTACTTTACTAACAGGTCTGAGAGATAAGTTGTCTAAGAAATTGGTAAATGATAGTATCATGACGGGTAACAAAGCTGGAACGCATAGGGCAAACAAGAAAAGGACATTGACAGGTCGGTTATCGACGGTGCTGTTAATAGCACGAGTGATGATGTGCTGAAACTCAGCACCATCTTAACATCGACCGTCATCGACTCCCTCAGTAAACTTGAGCCCCCAGGGAGGAGTCCTTGAATGAGGCAGTGGTTCCCAAAAATCCTGTAGGTGGTTGAACTCACTTTAACAGGAGTAAAAAGGCCCAAGCGTCCCCGCCGAAACTGAACATCTCAAGTACCGTGCGGAAATCAATTGATGCTTTGACCTCACAGTCTACATCCAAGACTGTCAGCCCGGTCATCACTGAGCCCAGGAATTGAAAACGCGCCTCGACATCCAAACAACAAGATACCAAACCTAGACACCCTGGAAAACCTGGGAAATCAATTACGGTTCGTGATGACTCTGTCATAATCATGAACCTTATTGAAAACCCCGACCTTCCTCTCAGTTTGCAGGACAAAAATGATAGGATGCTCTGGGGAGAATTAATCAAGAGGCTTGAACTCCCTAGAATAGAGCCTTTGACCGTCATACGGCTCACTCGGGGGAAGGACTCTAACCAACTTAACCACCCGAGGCTGCTTCGTGTTACACTTAAGAATGCCTCCGACGTTGAGGACGTCCTGCTAGCCAGTCACTTACTGAAGTCCGATGGGAACGTAAGAATACTACCCGATATACCGTATTCTGAACGAAATCTCATCCGGAACATCCCTAAGGAATCTCGCGAGGCTTTTCTCCGTGGACGAAATATCATTGTGCAAGGTGTACCGGAACATATGGACCCAACTCAAGCAAACTCTGATATTCGGGAATGGAAATTCATTAAGCATTCCTTAAAACTCAAGAACATATTGACCCAACAGGTAATGCGACTAGCCAAGAGAGACGGAGACTCTAGGCCCCGGCTATTGAAGATAAACTTCCCCTCCTCCCACATGGTGGCTGCAACTCTGGAAGCATTTCGTGCCAATAGACGTCGATTGCCAACTGGCATCCATATGCATCCGGATAGGCCCCACGACAGCAGGATCAAGCACAAACGAAAGCTGGAGCTGACAATTCCACTCGTGGACTGTCTCGATCATAAAAAAACGTGTATAGGACAGGGACTACCAACTCGGTAAACATCGTATAGGTAGGCTACCTGTCCACTCACGCACGGCTCATATAGACAAACAGGAAGAAGCTCACACGTTCCAAATTGAAAGCATAAACTGCCTATACATGAACGCCGCGAGCTTGCCAAACAAAATGAATGAGCTACGTGAACTTAGCAACGCTAATGATGCCCATCTGATAGGAATATCCGAAACTTGGATAACGTCTCAGTTTACGGACCGGGAGCTAGCAATAACTGGAATGTCTTTATTTCGCAACGACAGAAAAACAGGAATGGGGGGTGGGGTAGCACTATACGTACGGTCATGCCTGGATGCGCATCAACTTCACAACCAAGAGTTTCTCAATCTTGATGAGTCAGTATGGTGCTCGGTAAGATTGTCTACCACCTCGAGGTGTCTAGTTGGGGTCATCTACAGGAAGCCCACTGCCGTCATCGAGTACGGCAAACGTCTGCTGGAAGGATTAACTCGGTCTACGCGTCTCGGATTCTCTCGAGTCCTGATTCTAGGGGACTTCAATCTTCCGAGAATCAACTTCGTGGAACATACATACATTGATGGTGCCAACTCTACTGAAGCTCTGTTCTTCAACCTCATCGGTGACCTGGGATTATCCGAAAATGTGAAGTCGGCAACTCGTTGGAGAAACAGTCAGACGCCGTCGCGCTTAGACTGGGTATTCACAAATGAAGAATTACTAGTTGACGACCTCTCAATCCTGGCTCCCCTGGAGAAAAGTGACCACGCCGTCTTATCATTCAGCTTTGTCAGCAAAACGGAGCTAAGATATCCTACTAGCAACAAGCGCTGGAACTTCAAACGGTTGAATTTGTTAGCTTTACAGGACTATCTACAACAGGTGGATTAAGATGTTCACCCTCAACTTGAAGTGGGTGCTCACTGGGATTTTTTACTGCACACGCTCTTATGTGCTACTAAGCATTCAGTTCCTAAAATGGTCCTAAAACGCTACGAAGAACCTTCAATCATCAAGAACCGCACTCGTCGTTTGCTAAGCCGCAAAAGGCACTGTTGGGCCGAATATAAACGAACCGACAATAACGACGCATACAGGCAATATAAACGCATAAGGAACAAGTGTTCAAATGCAATAAGAGAAGACAGGCTTCAGTTCCAGACCAAGCTTATCGATAAATTCGTCTCCAATCCGAAAAGCTTATTCAGTTACGCAGCTTCTCTTCGACAAGGCAAAACTGGAGTTTCCAACTGCTGGGTCCTAATGGCCCGACCAATAACGACAGTGATGCCGCCAACCTTTTGGCTGAACAATACTCCCAGACATTCCAGCTGACCCACATCAACTATACTGACGAAAGCTTCACCTGCACCTGTACAGGACTTTCTGAAGTGGACCTGAGTGCTGACCTGGTGCTCCGTGAACTGCAGAACCTAAGCAAAGACACTTCTGGTTCGGATATGGTTCATTCCGCTGTTTTGAGGGAAGCAGCTTCAATCCTGGCGACACCACTTAGCGTGATGTTTGCACACTCGCTAAGAAGAGGCAAACTACCGGAAATTTGGAAGTTGGCCCACATCACACCAATTTTCAAAGGAGGTCGACGCAGTGAACCCTCAAGCTACCGACCAGTGGCCCTTCTCTCCATACCTTCCAAAATTATGGAATCCCCAATATACGACGGTATACTAGAACACTTATCATCCTCAAAGTTCTTCTCACCTCAACAGCATGGTTTCAGAGAAGGTCATTCTTGTATGACCAACCTGCTGACTGCGGTGGATAGATGGGCAACCATCCTTGATCGCAAGGGGAAGGTTAACGTCATCTACCTGGACTTCTCAAAAGCCTTTGATAGGGTCAGCCACGTATGTCTTATCAAGAAGCTTATATGATTGGGTATAAAACCCCCTTTGATTCAGTGGCTCTCTTCATATTTAGAAAACCGACACTTTAAGGTCAGGGTTAACTTCACTCTCTCTCTCGGGCTATGGAATGTCCTAGTGGGGTCCCCCAGGGCTCAATACTACGGCCTCTTCTCTTCTTGATTTACATTAACGATCTTCCTCAACAAGTTTCATCTGACTTATTGCTTTTTGCTGATGATGTGAAACTTTGGGTAGAGATACGTAATCATAATGATGTAGTAGTTCTTCAGGAGGATCTGACCCGACTTCAAAGTTGGGCAGACGACAACGGACTTACCTTCAACACTTCAAAGTGCAAAGTAGTCCATCTGAGACATGTTGCAGACTATAGTTATAGCTTAGGTAACTCCCCTCTAGAAGTTTCCCAAGTCGAAAAAGATTTAGGAGTGTTGGTACCCTACGACTTGAAATCGTACGCTAACTGTGACAAAAACGCCTCTCAAGCAAACCTTGCACTGGTAACATTGAAGCGCATTTTCGGCCAGTTTGACGATAGAACTTTCCACATATTCTTCAACAGCTTTATTCGTCCCCATTTAGAGTACGGTAACATAGTATTCCCTCCCTCCCTACAAAAGGATAAGGACACTCTGGAAGGTATCCAACGTCGAGCCACGAAATCTGTTCGGGGACTCAAATTCAAACCTTACGAAGAGCGCCTCAAATCACTTAACCTTTACCCGTTAGAGTACAGGCGTCTTAGAGGTGACCTTCTTATGACTTACAGTATCCTTATTACTTCTGGCCATCCCCTTAAACATCTTCTTAAGTTTAGTCATAACAATAACCTAAGAGGTAACACCCAGAAATTGGAGACCCTACATAGCAGAACAGACCGTGGACACAACTTCTACTCCGTTAGAGTTGTCAAGTGCTGGAACTCGCTGCCGACTGAGCTAGTCCAAGCGACCTACCAGGAGTCCTTTAAGAGGAAACTTGACTTATTCTTAAGGACTAAGGATAACATATTATTACGATTTACCAAATTCTTTTTTTCCTCTATTATCGTTAATATACCTAGGTTTTTGCCTGGAGGTATTAGTGATCCACTGCTACTAGACATGGAAGCCCGTTAAGCGAAAGCTACTTCTATTCCGTCCTCAACCATTTGAACCATTTGAACTTGTTTGTAGACGCTCGCGACAAAGATATTGGATATTGAATTGACCTCAAGGAATTAACACAATTTCAACTTCTGGCCTTGAGGATGACGTTATATTCAATCATTCTGCCCACCTACAATGAGAAAGAAAATCTCCCGATTATTACGTGGATCATTGATAAGGTTATGAATAAAAGGTGAGTCTTTCGTTGCTAAAACCTGACTAATTGGACCTACAAATCACTATATAGTGTGATTATTTGTGAAGTTCAAATGGTTCAAATGGTTGATCAAAAAGTTGATCTTTGTAACTGGGGCTATGAAGGCTCACACCAGTGGAGTTTTAATTCACTCATTTAGCACAGTTATGTTTCTTGGTTTTTTTTCCTCAGAGATCTCTGGATGGTTGTCGTGCGAAAAACGCTCTTTGTATCATATTCTTTATTTTTCGATGTATAGTCTATCAGTGTTACGTCTAGTCCTAGCCTAACTTTAATAATAATAAGCATGGTTTGATTAAAACTTTGATTTCACCGGTGGAAGTACTATTTAGCATGTATATCACGCTGACAGGTTACTTAGTATCTTTGGTGGTGGATCTACTCTCTCAAAACACCTTCAAGTCCTTTAGGGGTAAGTATTCCAAGTGGGGTGCTTAGAGTACCATTTTGTAGCATCTCCAGTTGTTTAAAAATCTTCGTCGATATAATGCAGGTTAAAATACTGATGATTGCTTTTCAATATTATTTTCTAATTGGTAACTGCAAGTGCATTCTGTGGAAACCTCTTTTCCATGTTGTGTGTAATCTGAACCGCCATATGTAAGCGACTGGTAGACGTAAGTGCTGGAATCAAAAAGCCGATTAAGGCTTCACAATAAGTTTATTATGAATAACTAACCTCTTCACAACTGTTCGGGAGAAACATCGACATTTAATGAAATGAACATATTAATTAAACCTTTAGAGGTTGGTTTTTTAATGAATTTTATCTTAGCAGATAATATTAAGCTCTTAGTTAACCTTACTCTGGTAACTATTCTGTAAAATCATTCAAATGTGAGTAAAGATACTATATAAGTCTTGGTAAGATAACATAATCGGACGCCATACCACCTATATCGATTCGGGCAGCTGGGCACTATCATCAACTTTACCTTTAGAGTGGACCCAACCCAATTACCTGGCGAATGAGCTAACTTGTTGTGTTTACTTACTCCTACATTCAAATGCTACCTGATTCAATCTGGCCACCCGGGCAATATCATAACCCTCACACAATTAAACGAAATGAAAATTTTTTGTGTGGCGCATATATATCTGGTGCCCCCTTGTACCAATACTTATGTTCAAATAATAATAATAACATTCAAATGCCAATTCGACAAAACAATTTCCAACCAGCCAAAGTGTTATTTAATTCGGCGCATTTATATCCTAGGTCTAAAAGTGAAAATTCGTCTAGCAGTTTTCACTTTTATGACCAACTTGGATCCGCATTATCCCAGTCACCCTGAAGTAAGTTCGTTATCAGAGAAAAATAAAGCTAAAGATGTTTTTGTAAAGATACCGGAGCTGTCAAATTGTAGTAGTTAGCATACAGAATAATTCCCTTGATGTTAGGTTACGGATGAGTGAAAATCAGTTTCAAAGCATTATGTTCCATCCAACAGCTGAAAACAGTCATATCAGGCAGTTTCCCAACATTTAAAATTATCAAGGTTCTATTCCCATAATTTATGGTGATTCAGAAACCCCAAACAGGCAGTGTTTAGATCAGAACTAAATTCACATCTGTTTTGTAAACGTAAATATAACTGAAGAATATGGCTACCGCGAAGAAACAACCCTAGTGATAGTCATATTGAATGAGTTACAAGCTCTTATTTCGCTGCATGAGTCTACTCAAAGAGCATTATGTAATTTCGCATAACTTGACTACGATGTCTCACATATCGTTCTTGATTATTGTCCTGATCCACGTATAAAGTTTAAACCTTTTAAGAAGGATTCATGGCATAATCGAAATAGATGATTACAAACTCCATGGTATAGTATAAAGTCAACCGCCTCATTTAATTTTAAGCATCGTACTGTTGTGTACTCGCTTGTCTCATACTCGTGTTTGTGTGTTACCCAGTGTGCTGTTTTTCTATTCCATTTTTCTGGCATCGATGGTCGTGGCAAATTAGTTTTGAAGAACACTTTAATGTTACATTTTACCAGTATATGTTGAAACCCAGGTCAACTTTCTTGGGATACGTTGTGGCCGACTGTTTACTGCCGGTGGATAACAATTTCCAAAACTATATGTTTTTTGTATTTATTAACGTAAATATACTGAATTTTGTATTTAAATGTGTATCTACAGTGGCTTTCCCTACGAACTAATAATCGTTGACGACAACAGTCCAGATGGGACAGGTGAAGTTGCTAAAAAGTTACAATCTATTTTTGGAGAAAATAAAATAGTGAGTAGAACTCAATTACTGTAACATTGTTTAGATTCTTAAACCAAGAAGTGGAAAATTAGGACTAGGTATGTTGATTCACTTTAACTGGTATTCAGCAAACTTTTAATATAGGCTCAGCTTACTTGCATGGTTTGAAGTTTGCAAAAGGTGATTTCATCATCATTATGGACGCGGATTTATCGCACCATGTAGGTTTAAACTAAACTTATATCTTACCAATTTATTATGCCTATCCGCTGATTGCGATGTAGTCTTTTGAGTTAGAGTTTTGCGTTTTTGAGAATACTGCTACAGAAGACGTGTACCATTTATATCTGAAGCCTAAGAAAAGAAACTAATGGTTTCACTCCAGAAAGAGCAGTATGGTTTTTTTTGAAATGCAAGGTTACAATAGCATCCATATATATAGCCTTTTCATTTTCAAATTTCCATCGAGTATATTTCCATTTATTTTTTGTCTTTTGATCCTTTTCTATGATTTCAGCCAAAGTTTATTCCTGAGTTCATTAAGTATGTATCTTGCAAGTTAACTAAATTTAATAAAATAAAGATTACAAAAGCAACATGATTACGATGTTGTTACTGGGACGCGATATGCATCTAACGGAGGTGTAAGTGGCTGGGATTTGAAGCGTAAACTTATCAGGTTAGTTTTTATGTGCCGATTAAAAGTGGATCTAGTAACGTCAAATAATTCTTCCTATTGATTACTTTACAATTTTCCATTATTTATGAATTTCACTGACTACTTAATGTTGTTTCAAAGATCATTTGCTCATATGATATAACCAGAATTCTCCAAATTATCCGATTAGTTAATGTCATCTAAGTAGAAATGGATAAAATGATGTGCATCACACACTTTTTATCCATTATTTTCGTTATTAAGTGAGTATTATTTTTGGAATTTCGTCATTCTTAAGTGGTAATATCTCGAAGGCTGCAAATATTTGATAAAGTTTGAAAATGATTGTATAACTGAATGCCAACTCATGTGCATCGAATGAAAATAAAGTTATTACAAGTTGTACTTAAACTGATTAGCCAATTTTTTTCATATGTCCCTTATGATTTTTCTTGATAGCCTTTACGATTATGAGTTCTGCGTATAGTTATTGTGATGTTTTATACTCAAGTAACCGGTTATATTGTAAAGTATGCTACTTATACTGACAGATATAAGTAGTATTTAGCACCAATCAGAATTAGAACGCCTGCCAGCAGAAGTTTGAATTAGAGAGATCAGGAAGAAGAATAGTGAGCAGTTGAAATGACAGCAGAATTGGAGGAACCACGAAGTACGTAAAGGACAACTGAAGAAAGATATGCAAATAATGTATATAATGTATGGTTTTCATTTTCTGCAATGGCACTCTGTAATTTTGCATTGGTTTTCCCTACCTGAGTTTTCGTTCACTACGATAAGAACAATTGCATCTTTTGATTCTTAAATTAGACTGGACTCGTACTGATTGGCAGCCTTACGTAATACTTAGGAGAATGATCTGTAAAGGCTAGAACAGATAATAAAACTGTTTGTTCCAATAATCTATCTACATTCTTTGATGTGAACAGAAATGTGTTCACATTTTTCACAAGGGATAAAATTATCAAGCTATCATGTCTTAGGTTTGTTTAAGGTATGCTGACATTTTTCTACTGTATTCGGAGTTATACAAAATGATTGGTGGAAAAATACTATCAAGATTGTTGATAATACATAAGTACAGTTGATAAGTATGTTTTTGCTTTAGAAAGACACTAATATAAACAATGTTCCATCCAATAAGTACTATATTTTTCCATCTGATTCACAGAATATATGGATAAGCTGGATTTCTTTAGTAAAATAGGTCATTTTTTCGTGTAATGTATTTTCAAATTAGCCTATTGGAAACTAAAGTCCATTTTCGAAGGATATTTGCCTTCGTGTTATTTATATGAGATACGAAAATTTATTGGATTAGTGAATCATGTAGGAAAAAAGTCTCTGAATGTGCAGTATTTCTTTAGCATGAGTACTATGCTAAACAATGAACTGGATTTTGGTGAAGTTTTGTCCTCTGGAGTAGAAAAAAGACTTCTATTAAAGAACAACTTTGTCTTCTTTCCGAATATTTTCGTCAGTAAAACCCCCAGCAACTGTAAGATGCAGACTACTAATCAACTATCTAATGCGATGGAGAAAATCTGAGAAAAGTAGTAGGAGAATGGTCTACCTGATAACCACGATCAAGCCATTCAGCTCTGAAAACTAAAACTTCAAAACATTCACCTGAGCTACAAATCTTCGTCTTCTCAAGATAGATTCCATCGACTTAATGTTTAATGATTAGTGATGCTGTATTTTTATAAATTTCTAGTCCTAAGTTCTTTCGATCCCTATAGTCCTACGTAGTTTACTACACAGTTCAACCTTTCGATAATACCATAGCTTTCATTTACTTAGTTTAAAATCAGCTTTGTATTGTACAGTCGGTACAGACAATGAAATTTCAATCAAAATAACAATGAAAGTGTGATATTCACTTGAATCGTCTTTATTAGTCTTTCTTTGAAATATATTTCGTGATTATTGTAGATTATTAGTCTAAAAGCCCCCAAATGCCCTGGTACGGCCAAGAGTGGGGAGAGTCCGCTCTCCCTCTCGAAATGCTCTCACATGGCCACGCGTACATAGCTCCTGCCAGGGAAGTCCTACTCACTGCCTTCTCATGGCATTACTGTAGTTTACGAAATTGAGAGGACAAAAAGCGAATGTCTGGCGCTTTAACCGGGTTGGTGGACACGGATAGTCCACCTAGGGGAGTTGGAAAACCTTGATTCCAAACCGATGGTGCACATGGGCTCCAGTACCCTGATAGAGCGAATGGAGAATGAACCTATTGTTGGTCACCGGCTACCATAGGACTGCATCTCCTCACGATGCCCCACTGCTTTGTGGATTAGACCTTTAGGTCAAAGGCTCGGGGTGTGGCCCCCTAAGAAAACCACCTGCTTCGGTTTGGGCACCCGGACAGTATCACAGCCCTCTCGCAAATAAATGAAATGAAACATTCAACTGACAATTATATTCTCGCTCATACTAGAAACAAAACAATTTGCATTATTATTATTATTATTATTTACCATATCGCTAATTCACTCCCTTTTATCCCCAATTTGTGTAACCTTACTTTTCAACTTATACAGCAGCTCACTCTTGGTGGAAACTCTGTTCCATCTAAACGATCTCTAGTCGCTGTTTGGTAGAAAGTGAATGCTCCCACCGAATATGAATACTGAAGCAGTCCTGAAACCACGTACGCCGTTCAAGCTGGCTTCCTTCAACGTTCGCACACTAATGCAGATCAGACAACAGATAGGGCTGGCTATGTCTTTGGAAGGTCTTAATGTTGATGTTTGTTGTCTATCCGAGACCCGTATTCAAGACTCTAGTGAAGTGCTACAAATTCGCTCTCCATCTGTCGCTTCGAAAAGCTTGTTTCATGTGCGCTTATTCGGGGACTCTGTGGCATCTTCGTCTGGTCTTGCAGGCATTGGTGTTGCACTAAGCGCTAAGGCTAAGGCAGCACTAATCGATTGGATCCCCATTAACAGTCGGTTATGTGCTGTTAGATTAGAAAGTTCCATCAAAGTGAGAAGAAACCGGCGTGAGAAACGGTGTCTTTTCTTCATCTCCGCCTATGCCCCGACAGATTGCAGCCCGGATGCAATCAAGGATGAGTTTTACCATTAGTTAACAGTTTTCCAGAAAGTGCGTTCGACAGATATTGTAGTACTAGCCGAAGACTTGAATGCTCAGGTCGGGCGTCTAGGCACAGAAGAGAGTCGTTTAGGTGGCCGATGGGGACTTGTTGGTCGCAGGACAGATAACAGGGACCGTTTGCTGCAACTGTGCACAGACCACAACCTGTTTCTGGCCAGCACTAACTTCCGGCACAGTCATCGCCGGTGTGCCACCTGGCGTCCTCCCTCTGCATCCCAAGCCTGGACTCAGATTGATCACATCGCGATCAGCTACCGCTGGCGTGGTTGTGTACAAGACTGCCGCTCCTTTCGGAGTACCTATCTGGAGTCTGATCATGCCATGGTCTGCGCCAATCTCACCTTACTTTTCAGTGGCCGAAGGATTGACCACCACCAACGGATCGATGTTAGTAAACTGGCTGCAACATCTGTTGCAAGTAAGTATCGAGCGGAGCTAGCCTCTAGGCTAGCTACCATCCCACCGAAAAGTATAGATGAGCATTGGTTGCATCTTCACGACGCCATGAAAATGGCGAGTAAAGCCGCTTGCGGCTTCGCGAAACGTCCCGCTTACAAGCACTGGGTTTCTTCTGGCTCCTTACAACTGATGGAAGCCCGTCGGTCTACTCCGGGTGATCGTGAGTATGACCACAAACGAAGGCTGTTACGTAATGAAATTGGGCAAAGCTTGCGTAAGGACCGAGAAGCCTGGTGGTCGGAGCGTGCTAATGAGATGGAAACAGCAACTGCATCTGGTAACTGCCGGAAGCTCTTCCAACTCATCCGAGCCACTGGCAGCAAGAAGTCTGGTGTGAGTGAAACAATCTACGAGGATGATGGGATGCCAATCACTAACATCTCTCGACGTCTTGGACGATAGGCGGAATTTTTCGAAGGGCAGTTCAACTGGTCTGCTGCTCCGGCAGCATCAACCAGTTTGTCCTGCCCCCCATGGCCGGTGACGACTTATCCACCAAACGAGGCGGAAGTCCGCAAGGAACTTCAACTCTTGAAACATTACAAATCACCAGGCCCAGATGACTTACCTCCGGCTCTTTTCAAAGATGGTGGTGACTTTCTGACTAAGGAATTGACTGTGTTGTTTGGAAAGGTTTGGGAGCAAGAAAGTGTTCCAACATCATGGAATTAGTCGATAGTCGTGCCTATCTTTAAAAAGGGTTCACGTTGTTCCTGTAACAACTACCGGGGGATAAGTCTACTTCCGATTGCGTCCAAACTATTGGCTTCTATCATTCTTCGTAGGTTGTTTAAAACCCGAGAACGATTGACTCGCGAGGAGCAGGCTGGTTTTCGTTCTGGTCGAGGATGCATTGATCACATCTTCACCCTCCGCCAAATGTTAGAACACCGTCATACTTATCGCAGGCCAACAATCGTAGTGTTTCTTGATATCAGGGCGGCCTTCGATTCGTTGGACAGGACTGTTCTCTGGGATTGTCTATTGAAGAAGGGTGTGCCTGAGAAGTTCATTAACATCTTAAAGGCCCTGTATACGAACACCTCAGGCAGAGTGAGGACATACAACCACCTTTCTCCCTTGTTCCATTCGAGCAGTGGGGTTAGGCAGGATTGCCCGATCTCACCATTCCTCTTCAACTTTGCCATCGACGACATCCTGGAAATAGCTCTGATGGATCTAAGTAATGGCGGTGTGGACCTGCTGCCTGGAGAACGACTTCTCGACCTCGAGTATGCGGATGATATTGTCTTACTGTGCGATAATGCCCAAGGTATTCAATCCGCACTTAATCAGTTGGCAATCAGTGTCCGCTGGTACGGCATGTGCTTTGCATCCTCCAAGTGCAAAGTACTCCTACAAGACTGGCAGGATTCTCATCCTGTACTCACCCTGGATGGTGAGCAGATTGAAGTAGTTGAGAAGTTCGTGTATCTAGGTAGCTACATAAGTGCTACATAAGAGCAGTTTTGCTCTACGCTTGTGAAACCTGGCCTCTCCGAGTTGAGGATGTTAGACGTCTCTCTATGTTTGATCATCGTTGTCTCCGAAGGATTGCTGACATTCAGTGGCAACACCATGTTAGTAATGCAGAGGTTCAGCATCGTGTGTTCGGGCGCAGAGACGATAATTCAATCGGTGTCACCATCTTGAAACACCGACTTCGGTGGCTTGGACATTTTTTACGAATGTCGTCCCAGAGACTTCCACGTCGTGCATTATTTGCCGACTCTGGGACTGGTTGGAAAAAGCGGAGAGGAGGTTAGTGTATGACATGGTGTCGTGATATGAAAGAAAGCTGCAAAGGGCTGGCTTCTGTTTGTCATTCACGACTCCTTGGCTGGGGTCCGAGAGATGGTGCAACACAGTGGCTAAAGACGTTATCAGATATGGCTCAGAATAGAAGCCAGTGGCGAACCTGTTGTAACCTTCTTTTACTTTCTACATAAAGAGTGGCTATAACTTTCCTAACTGAGAGAGCTCTTCTGGTTGTACATTTCAGTTCCCCCCATCATTACTCTTCTCCTTTTCTTTTTTTCCTTCTTTTATATATACACATCTTCCTTCTCCTCCCATTCTCGTTATTTTGTGTGGCGCATATGTATCCGGTGCCCTTTGTACCAATATATATGTGATTAAATAAATAAATTAGTCTAAAAATGAGGGTTAGGTCAATTGTGTTTTATTTCTCAAAGAATATGTGATAACATTGCGTCGTGAATAGAGTTTTTTTTTACAACAGACTCTTCTACGCTTACCGAATTATTCCGTTAGATTGTACAATCATTTAAGGTCAAATTACATGTCTTAGTAATTGGATCAATACTTTCGGTAATGAGTTTTTCTTAGAAATGGAACATTGTTTCAAGTAGCGTTTGTAATACATCCCGTAAGATTATCAAACTCGTTTTTTCGTTCACAATATGTTCTATATGTATTGGTAAATCAAGTTTCATTCATAAACACTAATTCATATTTCAAAAGTTAGTTGAAATTTCAAGTGCTTCCCAAACATTTAACTACAGTATAATTGTTTTTTGCATAACAGATTACAAATGAGTATGTTATCAGAGCAAACCAAAGATCTTATATTTTATATGTTTTTAAAACAAAGTAGTAATTTTTCGTACAAGTTGCTATCGATTTATTTGTTCACCTATTCGTTTGTTTTTCTAGCCGTACGGCAAATTACATAGCTCAAGTATTACTACGACCGAAAGCATCCGATTTAACTGGAAGTTTTAGGTAAATTAGCGTACATATTCTTTATTTCAAATCGTTCTTCATATATTCTTGAAACGATTATATGAGTAGCTGCACAAATCATATTAAGTATATAGTTATTTGTGTTTACTAAAACATATGAGTAATTGTTTTCAATTTCCCATTAATACTATATAGTTAATTCCAACCATACTACTCTGGATATATGTTAAACTTTTTCCACAGCTCATTTAACGTTATTCGTGAGAAAAAAAAACAAAGCACACATGACTAAATTGTTGTCCCGTACATCACGTCTGGTCGTAAGTTATCACTTCAGAACATTCCTCAATCTATTTCTCCATTTAAGTTGAATAAATTTGTAATTGTTGTTAATATAGCAAAAATTGTATCTCACATCTCCTAAGGGTAAATACAACGAAAAATGTACACAAATAGTGTGGTCAGTTTGAAAAATTAGTTAATTAAAACAAATCCGAAATTGGAAACTAGTTATGTATACATAGTTGAAAAAGTAGATGTCTTTATTACTGATTTTAACAACTGACTATTTGTTGCAATGGAAGGTAAGTCTCACAATTGATTAATCACTTAAGTAATAACCAATATCGTATTTGTCTAATTCCTTTTTTACAAATAGCATGATGTTGACCAAGCTGCGATTCGACCACTAGTGTCTAATTGGCTCAATAATAAACTTTTGACCTAGGTTTCATATTATTCGGTACTTTCCAGTAAGTCATACGTGTACTGCTGAGAGAACTAGTGCTCCTTGGTGGTTTCATATCCATCTCATAAATATTGAGATTTTTTGTTTTTTGTGTAAATATTATCTCAAATGATTCTTTAGAAAATTCAACCAAAAGTATTGAATACATATATATTCATTTATCTCACTGTTTTTTTAGACTATACAAAAAAGCGGTTCTACAAGATTTAGTTTCACGTTGTACTTCACGTGGTTATGTTTTTCAAATGGAAATGATAGTATTAGCTTCTTCACTTGGTTACAAAATCGGTGAGGTATGTTTACTTATAAATATTATATATACTTGAAATCACGAGTCAATTGAAGTTAGACCATCATAGAAAACCTGGAAACACTGAACGGCCGTTTCGTCCTATTGTGGGAATCCTCAGCAGTGCGCATCCACGATTCCGCCTCTCGAGATTCGAGCCCAGGACCTACAAGTCTCGCACCAGAGCACCTGACCGATAGACCACTGAGTCGACATCCAACGGTGTTAATGTCTAACTTCAACCAATCCACAAAGTTGAGCAACCGTTTCACCAATGTCTTCAGTGAGTTTATATCTCCCAACAGACCTGGTTAAACTCCACTGGTTACGGCTTCTCACTAGAACTCCAGGAAATACCTCGTGGAGCCAGTCACTAGTGAACATATGATAAGGGGGGTTTTCTGTGGAGATTTTAAGTAATTTTTATATATACTTGAAATCATGAGTCCTGGGTTCGAATCTCGCGAGGCGGGATAGTGGATTCGCACTGCCGAGGAGTCCCACAATAGGACGAAACGGCCGTCCAGTGTTTTCAGGTTTTCTACGGTGGTCTAGCTTCAATTGACTCATGATTTCAATTATATATAAAAATTACTTAAAATCTCCACAGAAAACCCCCTTATAAACATTAGTTTGAATTTTATTTTAAAAATAATTTTTATTTAATTCTAGGTTGGGATTACATTTGTAGATCGATTTTATGGAGAGTCAAAACTTGGTGGAACAGAAATTATTCAATATATAATGGGATTATTACATCTTTTCTGTACTTGTTAATTTTCTTCTTTGTTTTTTTTTGGAAAAAAATAAACATAGTTAATTATAATTCTATTGTTCGAACTCGGTTTATATAATAAAATATTTTTTAAGGCTTCATTGCAAATCTATGCTAAATACTTTTGTATATAGCTAATGAATTTACCCAAAGTTCAAATTCATTCACAATGAATATACCCAAAGTTCAAATTCATTCACAATGAATATTATAATAGTCATCTTAAGACGTAGAAGACATAATTTTCAATTTACGTCAATATATAAATTCTTGGAAAATGTAACATATTGATTTGTTTTTTCTTTTGTGTATGATTAGTGTACATTAGTTTGATAATGCATAGTAATCTATAAACGGTACAACTATTACTCTGAAGAATATTTCCTCCTAAAGTTAGTTTCCATTATGAACTTAACTGAAAAATCATCAGAGATCAAGGAGCACTAGACAATTATTTTAGTAATTGTTATTAGTAGTTTTTAATAATCCCTTTACTGTATTCATTCTGAGTTGGACTTTTAACAAACCCTGTATATTAATAATAATTGTGGTTAGTTCCGAGATAGATTCTCAGTGATCTATGTAGTTTAACTTTGTTGAGAGTGAGATAAATATCACCAATGATGTTGGACAGTCGTCCTGGAATACTACAAACTGACTTAGGTAAGAAATATGAATCATGGAGTAGTGAAATAAAAATATGATGGTCGCTGTAATACCGAAAGGACTTGAATCCGATCTCGAGTGTTCGAATTGCTGATAAGTCACTAGACGGAGTAAACGGGCTCTCCAATGATTACTGATTTACAATGGCCCTCCAATTGTAGTTTTGTAACAGAAGGCAACTTCAGATTTGACAACAGTATAAAAGCTAGACTTAGGATGATAATTAAGTGTCCCAATCAGTATATTAACGTCACGTACGCTACTTTTGTATAAACTATAGCCATTTTCGAGACTGAATCTTTTGGAATGATATCAGAGTCCATTAATCTGGAATATTACAAATTATTTCTAGCTTTGTATAAGTTTTAAAACCGGACTTTGATATTAATGAGAATAAAGGTTGTTCTTTTTTTGTTTCATCCAACTTGAGACCACCTGGAAGCAGTATATTTCAAACTAAAATCTTATCTGAACAAGTTTATAAAAGCTCCTGTAATTCTGATATTTCACCTGTGATATGATATGTCCGTAACAGTAACGTACAAATATTCTTACGTGTGTTTCAGGAAATACTTTCTTGAAGTGTTTGGAAAATAAGTCAGAAGTCAGTTTTTTTCAAGTCAGTACATGACGTTACTTCATGAACTCATTAACTCCTGACATGAGTCGTTTATGGAGCTTCAGACTTCCTGTTTGAAGCCCATAAGATAACCTTACTCACTATCTGAAGACTACATGACTGGGTTTATACAAAGTTAGTGCGTGTGCATTCATCCTTTGCTAAATCTTAAATCTGTGTTTAATTCACTGGACTGGTTCATTTGCTTTTTTTGAACTTTATTTCTTATCCTCAGCTTCTAACTACTATAAGTGTTGTTATCTTTACGGCTTTAGTTTTCATCTTCCTGATTCCTTGACGTATAAATGCAAGAAAAAAAATGCGAATTCGGTCGAAATACTGTGCTGTTTTTAATTATATATAACTACCTTTTTATCAATACATATAACAGTATTAATTAAATTACAATTTTAAATGTTTATACAACTGTTGAAACAATATCTTTCAAGATTAGGCGAAGTATCTGACAAATTTTAAAATTCAACCAAAATATAATCATATTTGCATGTTTCATGTTTAACTACATTAAATAACCAGACATTTTATACGTATATAAAGATGAATTATTGGCAGGACTTTTTTCATTTAACACATATTAGTGACTACTTATCAGTGGTATTTTTGTTCTACATGAACTGTTTGAGATTTTCTAAACCACGATGAATGTCTTAGTATATAAAAATATTGAAATAACGTGAATTTCTATTGGCATCATTTTTTTGGATTAATTGATTGCAGCATATTCCCGATGGTGGATTTAGGTTGGTAATGCCTTATTTTGAGTAAAAATATCTACCTTCGGTGATTTACATGTAGATTTATGAGACTGAACTGGATGTGTTTGTGCGTAAGTTAGTAAATGTGGTAAATTCTGGTATATTTCCGATGTGTTTTCTCGATTTTCTTTTGATTTATTATTTACCAATAGTTCTTTAGTCATTCTAAGCCCGTTTCTGTATAATTTTATAAATTTGTTTTTACCCAATATGAGTCGTTGGTTCACCAAACTAATCAAAGGATCTGCGTAAGTTTCCTCTATTTTTAGTTTACTCAAATTTTCATGAATTTCAGCTTCTTCTCTGGTAACAACTATGGTATTCCATGGTGACCATGGTTTATTAATATCCCATCGAGCCAGTGTCAAATCAAATAGATTTGTCCAACCTGATAGAACCGAGCGACTTTCCCAAATTTGGTCGATTAAAAATCGTATGTCATCTTTATTGATTAAGAAAGGCAGTGGATTTACACACACAGTCTCTTCATGTGTCCCGTCGATAATAGCATCTGTTTCAGGTATTGGAGACTCACCTCGTTCTAATCTTTGTAATTCTTCCTCTCTTGCGTTTTCTATTGCCACTCTTTTCATCTTTTCTACAAGTCTAGTCTCGTTTTGTCTTAGTTCTGTCAGAATATATTGATATGGTTCAAGATCTAATCTCTCACGTGCCCGATTATCACTTCTTCTACAAAATTTACATGGGAATAGTTTGTTTGCTCGTGAGCTAAGTGGGAATAAGTTCTTCTTTAAGTATCTTTGACAAGAGATACAGTATTGGATGTCATCTACTAACAAGGGGACTGTTGTTTCTTTTAAGCTTGTTGGTACTGTAAGGTACTTACCTACTTCCGGATTAACTTGTGGTAATTTTGCAAACTGTACGAATCTGTTGCGAATCCTTTGTCTTAGTCCGGATAAAATTTTACCTGGAATACCACGCATAATTAGTTCCGCTTCTCTGTCAACCAATCCTATTATCTCCTTAGAAATCTTTGTATTGTATGAGCTCACTGTTTGTTTCAGTGTCAGAAGTATATCTAGCCTTTCATTATGTGTTAGATTTTCCAAACCTAAACTTTCATGAATGTCTAGCAATTCCTTTGCACGAATCGTTTCAGCTGTGGCTACTTCAGTTATTCTTCCATCGATTGAGGATATCCAACGATGAGGAGCTGAAGCTTTTTTTAGACAAAGAGATTGAATATTTTCAGCAACTTCCTTGCTTCTTTTTATTTGATGTCTATTTATAGCTGATATTAATTCTGCCTCTTCATCCAAAAGCAACGCTAGAGCTGCTTTTTTTTCTGCTTCCGTTAAGTTTTTTCCTTCTATTTTACTTACTTCTTCTTTACGCCACAATTCTAAAGCGTTATATAATCGATCAAAATCAGCCACAGTTTTTGGATGAAGCCTTCGCTCGAAATCATGTGCGACTCTTCTATCAATTTCATTTTTGTACTTTTCAGATTGTGATTTTTCCCAAGCAATATAATCATCCCTTATTTTTTTGAGACGCGCTACTCTTCTTTTTGCAAGCCATCGACGTAAATACTTTTGAATGATTATAACCTACAAAAAGAAATAAAAAAAGGATTCTTATTCTTTTAAGAGAAATTCTGGTATTTCGAAAATTTTTATTAATAATCATAAGATTTTATAGTCTCAGTTAAATAACAAAATAGGCTTTAGATTGTTTCTCATTATTATTTTGTCGAAAATCAAAATTTATTAGACTTGAATATATTTCCAAATTATTTTGAATACGATTAGTAAAAGTTTAACTTCGTTGTGAACACAGTTACCTTAAATTTTATTGTTGGTTATTCGTTTGCTAGTGGAGTATTTTGTTAGCGTATGGTAGTTTTATATCCTTAATCGTATATTCTAGTTAGGTGAATATCGTTTTTTTAAAATTCTGATATCTGTTTGTTCAGGTTATATAAGTGCACTTAGTGAGCAACTGGTCTGTTTGTTAGTCGTGTATATTGATAGGTTAACAATCGTCTTATTGTTTTACTAGTGAGTAGTTGTGAATATTTGTAAAAATGTAGAAAATTAAGAATAAACTTGGGGTATGTAATTTAACAGTAGATTTTCTATTGTTAAGTATGTTAATAATTTCTAACGTTTTTACTAACCGACCCACTATAAGTAGGATGCTTAAAGTTTTGTTTTATATCTCAATGTTGATCTCTATTCAACAGTTAGATTTTGTACTGAAAATAACGTTTGTTGGTAATGATGGTGTTTAGCAATTAATCGATGCTGATTATCAGCAAATGCATCTCCCTGTAATCAAGTGCCGATCAAATCTAGTGATTAGCAGACCACTCATTTCTGGCGTAAAACCAAGCTCTGCAAAATGTTATTTAAGAATCAACCATAATAGTTGCACCATCTCTGATTCCTATACTGAAAAACGGATTAGAATAGGTTCTAACCTCTGTTATATTGTGAATATGCTTTCACAACAAAAACCAACATCCACTCCTTTAATCTGTATTGGTTTATTTAAGAATATTTCATAACATTTACTTACGTATGTTCAGGTTTTAAGTTATGTGGTGTAAATGCATAATTATGTGCACATAGCTTACACAAAATCTTAACCCCGTGAACTCAAGCATACTCATTCTTCTAAATTTGGATCATTGTCATAATAAGTCTTGATTGTAAGGCAGCCATAGCTGTCTGCTGTGACAGATATCCGAGGACTTCGTAGTAGCTGATTGTCATTACTCAGGTCCGTCAAAAGGCTTTAGTCGTAGGTATACATACAGCACACTGGTTTTGTTTGTATATGATTACTTCCTCAAGAAAACCTAGTCATTTCCGCTTAGTCTATTTATTACATTACGCAGTAAAAAAGTACTGCCTTTCGGTTCAGTACACAAGCGAAACCATGCTCTAACAGTAACTATGATCGAACGAAGTTGTTTATTTGCCAAGGAAGTATCCATTGAATGACAGTAAAACTAAAGTATCACCAACTTCTGATGAAAAGATAGAAGTGCAGAAAATTAAGTATGCGACCAGTAAATCGTTTAAAAATCTGATTGTTAGCTTTGAAATGAAAACCCAAAACTCCACCTACTTAGTTGTTTCAGTCTATATATTTCAAAGAGAATCTTTTAATAAATACA